ATATATATATATATATACGTGAGTATACGTAATGTCGAGCACTTGTTAAATAAACTAAATTTGTTAACAGCTGATAATACTTACAAGCACTGGCATCCATGACGCCACGATCACAGATAATCAAACAATCACGCAGACTCGATTGTCCCAACTCAAAGTAGGTGTTCTCGATTTGTATCATTGTACGTATAAGATTCTCTTGAAACTTGAAAGCTGCAATGTAACAGTGAAATTAAATAATTGATTATGTATTTAAGTTTTTAATGTGTAAAATCTTTACAGCTTAATAAAATAGTTAACCAATATTTTTTTTGCAAAATATAAATTTGCATTTTAGAAGAAAAAACTTGCAAGCAAAAACGTACAAAAAACATAAAAATTGTGCTAAACAATGAATAATGATTGATTGCTCGATTGCGCAAACAGCTGTGTGATGATTGCTGCATATTCGGCGACCATGATGTGGTTGTTACGCATTCTTAATTACATTCTGATGGAGTATTTAAGTTATAATGCTGAAATGTATTTATGTAATAGTGCTGCAATTATATTTGTGATTATACAGAATATTTATCATACACCGGTCTTATACCCAAATTATATTTTCTTATATTAACATACATCCAGAAAGTACTTAACATGCGATTTTTATTATTATAATATATATAAATACGTATATGCTTATTTCTAACGGTATTATTGTTTATATTTTGAAAGCTAAAAATCTGATATTGAACAGAAACTGCATATTTCGATTTTTTAGTACATGATTTAATAATAAATCCTAAACAATATATATATTTACATAAAAATTAGTCCACGAATATCTGTGAACTATTAATTACTACATACATTTTATTTTATAAAGGTGTTCAGTATGTACATAGTATATTTTATTATTATCCAACAAAGACATTTTTATTAAATTTGCCAAAAAGTCACCCAGAACGTCGGAGACCCTACAAATTATTTATATTATCAGCGTTACGAGCTAAGTCGATTTAGCCATGTCCGTCTGTTTGTCTGTGTATACGCAAACTCAGTCACTCAAACTGAACGATCAAAATCAAGTCCTTGCATGGAAAACTTTTTTATTCTACAAGAAATCTTCACAAAATTCGACATGGAATATTGTCTAAGACAACACTACAATCTCCGAACATATTGTTTAGATCGGACCACTGAAACATATCGGTGCAACCGAAGCTAACGTTTTTTCTTATTTTTATTTCCAACCGTTAAACTATCAGAACGAAACTCTAGTTCATAGACGAAAAAACATTTTTGCGAATCAATCGAATCTTTTGATTGAATTGAGCCGACTAAATTTTCTCATTGCTTGCAAATATTTAAAACTACACTCAAATATATTTATATAATATGGCGAATATTTTAATAATAATAAATTATATTTACTATTAATAATAAGGGCCCAATGAATTAATATAATAAATGATATATTATGAATCTCTCATTTATGCAACTCTGAACCCGTAGGACCTTTATACATACATACATAAATGTAGTCAAGAAGGTAGCGCGTGTCATTCATGGGAGTTTTATTATTTATAATAACAATAAACATTGAAATTAATATATTACTTTGAATATCAACAAAGCTACAAATAGATATGTTGTGTAATTCTATTTCACATTATTTATTTTTATGATCAAATTATGCCATTTATTTGGAATTACGTATCCACAACAAATGCTTTCTGTCGTAGGGGGGCTGCAGTAAGTTCGTAAGTAATTCGACGATAATGCAATTGGAATTTAATATGAAATGACAAGCTCAAGTGAACAGCAATTAAATGTTAATTGTCGAATTTGATTATTTTTTATTTCGCGCATGTGAGACTAATGTCACGAATAATTCATAAAAATATTGCGAATACCAGACAAAAACGAAATATACAATTTTTTACCATCAGATTAAATTTGATACGGAACGCAGAAATTTAATAGATACAAAAAATTCTAGATTTGTACAATCTTTTTCCATGTTTGTGTGTGGTTTGACTTCCCTATGTCAATTAGTGTGTGTTTAGCAGCTGTTTGTTTACGACGCGAAATGTTTCTCTGTCGATTTGACCATGGAAAAAATAGATCAACGAGTTTGCTTGAAATTTCGTGTTTCCAATGGAATTACGGCCCCGGTAGTGTTTTGGTGAGCCTACTTGTTCACGAACATAAGTAGTGAAAAAAGTCATGAAGTCATAGAAAACTTGTTAAAGAAAGAGTGCTTGAAAATCGTCGTGTTGGCGTCAGAGATATAGCAGATTATATCAACATCTCTTATAGACCGACTCAATACATTTTTAATAATGTTTTGGGAATGAAGCTGCCAATGCTAGACTTGTACCAAATAGTGTTAGCATGGTTGTGTTGGCTCAGGAGACCGTTTTGAAGGCAATAATTAAAATTTGCATTAAAATAGATGATATCAACAGCTGGCGTGGGCAGGACTCAAAATCGAAAATTATTGATCAAAATTTGCTTAATATCGCCGTTGCTCGGCAAGCAAAGTTTAAATAGCACCTAAAGATGGGAGAAGAGAGGTAAACACGAAACGAACCTACATACATACATTAGTACTTATATACAATACATTGTTGTATGTATCATAGACATAGATTCGGTTCGATTATTAACAATCTGTAAAAAAAAAATATATAGGTTAAGCTAATAGCATTATGCGACAAATTCTTTTGCGATCGTAAGTATCTATCAGTTGCCCTCTAAAGGTCTTATGATTACAGCCGATTGATAATTTGTTTGGCTTTTGGTGGCGCTAGCGAAAATTGGTAATGCGGAAGTCAACACGGTTGTAGTAGCAATAGTAGAGATAAGTTGAAAACACATGTACATATGTATGTATATATAATATAACATATTTATTGGGTATTTAATTTCATGATTTCTGGTCAATTTATAAGATCTGTGCTTGATTGGAATGCATTACTCATTTGTCGACCAGTGATATTCATTACTATAAACAGTAAATAAGTTTTGATTGTTGCTGTGGTTTTTATAAGAACCAAACCCGTAAAATAGCACAAACAGTCACCGACATTATTCCCTTCCGTACTTACCGCCCGTATCAAACCAAATTAGTCAAAAGTTATGCCCGTAGTTGCAACGCAGAAATCAGTTGTTCTCTTTTGTTTTCATTTCACCAATGTTGCCATTGTTGTATTTGTATACACGATTTTTTACACATTTAGTTTTTTAGTTATAATTTTTCATAATGTAAAAGCTCAAAGCTGAAATCTAACTAAAAAATATTTTACCTATTTATAAATAAGTGTATTCGACTGCGATTTTGAGTTATTTTAAGAATATTTCAAATATGTTCAAGTTCATTTTTTTATTACTACAAAATATTGAGATTGGCAACCCTGCGTTGCAAGAGATTGCTCTCTCATTCTCAGCTCACTCGTTTCTACGGAAAAAATCCAATTTTCGCGGATATCCTACCCTACTGTTCAGTTACATTGCGATCTCATAAAATAGGTCGTCGTATCAGCTGTTTCGGTCCACGGTGCGTCGGTGACTGTTTGAGCCAAAAGCCATTCGGCAAACGATAGCGCGACACTTCTCGGGTTCTTCACTTTGTTTACGCGACAAGTGATCAATGCAATACCAAATAAATAAACATAGAAATATTTTTGTTTTCAACGCTGAAAGCAGACAATAAAGACATGTGTATGTACACAAATAGGAATGTGTTACAAAAGCACAGTTATGTGGTTTTTTGAATGTCATGACAATTCGATTTTATATTAGCAACAAGATAGGCTTTCATTATCGTTTTTTGTGGTATTGACATTTCACAAATGCCGCCATTTGTTGTAGAACATTCTCAAAACTAATTTGCCGCAAAAACAGTCAGCTGTTGTGGAGCTTTAGCCGCCTTCCCTTACACTGCGCACACTACCCACATATTATATGTACATATGTGTTACATATGGACTTAGATATGTGAACCCGACCAACAAGCCACCCACAGCTAAGGGCATGTGCGATTTGTTTTCCACTGCAATAATTTAATTAGTGCAAAATAACAAAATTTGCAAAAATTAAAAAAAAAAGAAAGCAAGAAAAAAGCTTGAGGTTTGGTCATCGCTGATGTAAACAATTGCGCAACTACAAATTCGTTTAAATTTGCGGCGCATTTGTGTTTCTATTCAATTACCATTCGGCGATTATTCCAGGCATATTGAAATAAACAATTTAATATTATTAGAATTGGAATCCAATTTTTAGTATTTCCATTTTGTTTAGCTTTCTTTTTTATTTATGTATGTACATATGTATAAATCAAATACATTTAAAGCCGTTTCGCGTTTTCTGTATATATTGGTTTTAATAACTAAAATAAAAAATTGAAATCAAATCGAGGTTACATGAGTTCTCTTCACAAGTTGCGACCATCCGAAATTACATAAGTACATACAGACATATGTACAATACATTGAAATATATTTTGTGAAATCAATGTTCGCATATAAAAATTTTGTGGTTTCAAGAAAAAACAGCTCTACTTGATTTCGAAAAATTTCGAAACTTTCTATACCCTGTATCAAGATTGCCACGAAGTTTGTGAAACACAGAAGAAAACGTCGAAGACCGTCTAAGTGATCAGCGTGACGAGCTGAGTTCCTTGGTATTTGAGATATCGATCTGAAATTTTGTACATGCTCTTTCTTCCCCAAGAAGTTGCTCATTTGACGGAACTGGGTCCATCCAACCAAAGTCACTGTTTGGAAAACTTTTTTATTTCAAAACATATCTTCAAGAAATTTGGCATGGATTATTGCCCAAAGTAACAATAAAATTTTCGAACAAATTGTTCAAATTGCACCACTATAGCATGCCATAAAAAGAGAACGAACAAAGTGAAGTCCCTGTATATGCTTTGTTTATTTCAGTCAAGTCAGAATAAACGGAAAGTTTGGTGTTCAGAGAGTGTACTGTCAAAAAGTCAAAATTTATCAATTGATTATGGCAAACTAATGAAAAAGGCGCGAGATCTTTTTTGAAACTATTGAAATTCGCATCAAATTATGCGTTAGTTAATCTTAACTACAATCTATTTTATCAATTTAGGTATCAATATAAAAAATTGTTATCTGAAATTATTTTTTTGTGAATGAACGACGCATGTCCTTAACGTTTTTAATAGCATAGATTAAAGATAGTGATATCATTAGTACTGACCTACATACATAC